CACACACACACACACACACACACACACACACACACACACACACACACACACACACACACCTAAGTCGCTCTCCTCGCTCCCATGAATTGTCTGCACCTCAAAACTGCTTCTCTGTCAGTTTCCCTGCCTCCCTCTGGCAGAGCTGCTGCATTTGTTGATTGAGACCCTATTGGAGGCTGGAAAGGCTGCATCGACCCCCTCCATCCAACCCCCCCCCCCACACACACACACCTCCTCTGCTACATGCTAACTTGCTTTCAGAGGGTAATTAGTCAAAGTGATTTCCACCTGCCCCCCTCTTTTTCTTTCACTTGCATCTGCTCAGCCCAGCTTGGATGTGATGAAAACCATCAGTGTTGTTCATCTTTTCTCTTTTTAAACACGACAACACAAACCAGACACATTCGTCACTTCTTACGCTTTCTAAGTGGAGCAAACTCACAAAGCAACTGTGTTTTCTCTGAAGCAATATATCAGTTTTATCCTCTGTGCTGCAGAAAGCCCCGTGTTTCACTACTCAGCAACATGATCAGTGGTACAAAATACATCATATTTGTGACCAGTCACATTAAACTGAAGGTTAAGTCAAGTTTGGTCAAARTAACTTTCAGATTCAGGCTTTTTAAAGCTTTATTTTCATCCCTGCATCACCCCGAGGTCATGTGCAGATCCAGACATCAGCCTTGATTTGTGCTAAATCAAGACAACCCATTAAYATTTGGTCTGGATCCTCTTTTCAGGTTATTCTAATGAGGAATTGATGAYGTCATTACAAACAGGAAACCTCAAATATTATTTGAGTGTTAAGACTGACATATAGAAAGGGAAAAAGTTGTGCTAGCTCACAGGCAAAATGACAAAACATCAAGACTTTTCTGCACAAAATCACATTTTTATTACTGCTCAAAAAGTGCTTTAAAATGGTTTGAGATTATATGTGAATCATCATATCAAAGTGAGGATCAAGTCAAATTTGATCAAAATGACCTCATCACATTTTCATTTAGTGGCTTTAAAAGCTACATTTTGATAACTGGATCATCCTGATGTCATAAACGGATCCAGAGAGTCGAGTTAATTTGTCTTGTTGGTTACGACGATACATTAATATGGCTTTCATTATATTTTGACAAAATGCAAGTTTTGTTAATATTTTAGTCAAAATCGCCTATTTCATCCAATTTTTGGACTTAATCCTCATTTCGATGTGATGGGTCACATTTGTTCTCACTTTGGGATTTAACAATCAGTTTGATGTACTGGTCACATTTATGCTCAGGCTGGAACATTTTAAATACAATTAAGAAATTTAGAAAAACAAACCTTGAAATAAATATTTGAATGAGTCAAAG